TGTGTACTTACACTTACTACACACTTCCACCTGGCCCAGCCTCAGCTCAGTGCCCAGGAACAAGTACCAAGTGGCTGCTACACTGGACGGGGCAGAGTCAGCAGAGGGAACGGCAGAGAAGGCCTCATTTAAAACAGAAGATTAAACACTCAGGAATAAACTTAATAAGAAATGTGGAAAACCCACTAAGAGAGAAAACGTAAAACATTCCTGAAAGACTCAAAAGCAGACTTAAACAAACGGAAAGACATGCCTGTTCTTGGTAAAACGATCAACATCATAAAAGACATCATCAGTTCTCCCTAATTTAAATTTAACGTAATCACACTAAAGACACCTGCAGGCCTTCTTACGGAGCTAGGCACGTTGGCACTAAAGTTTATACGGAAAAGCAAACATGAAAGGCTGGGCAGGAAAACCCTGAGGAAGAAAGGTTATGAGGAGAATAGTCCTACAAGGCGTGAAAACACTCTCACCTCTCTGGTACGGACTGAATTGTCTCCAAAAAACACCTGCTGTATCTCCTAACGTCTATGCCTGTGGTTATAATTCCACGTGGGAATGAGTTTTCTGTGATGCTAACGAGGCAGGATCAGTGCAGGGTGTATACTGAGTCAATCTCTTACAAGAGATAAAAGGAGTAGATTAGGTAGGCAGAGATGGGGAAAGATTGATGCCAAGCCACATGGAGATCTCCAAGGAACCAGGAAGCAGAAGGTAAAGAGACAAGGACATGCCTCCACAGCTGTCACAGAAAGAAAGTCTTCCCCTAGAGCTGGCACTCTGGATTTGGACTTCTAGCCTCCTAAACTGTGAGAAAATACATTTCTGTTTGTTAAATCCACCCACTTGTGGTATTTCTGTTACAGCAGCACTAGGCAGCTAAGACAGCCTCTAAAAATAATGCAGTGTGATGATGGCACATAAATAAAGTGGAAAAGGATAAATTCCAGAAACAGATTTAACTACACGTGCAAATTTAATATATGCTAAAGGTGGTATCTTGAATCGCTGGGGCAAGACGAACTTTTTAATAACTAGCGCTGAGATGACTGTTAATCATCTGGAAAAAGATAAACCTGGCTCCACACCTCACCCCCTACACAAGAATAAACTCTAAGTGGAAAAGAAAAATCATACAAGTGCTAGGAGAAAACACAGTTGCATTCCTCTTTAAACTTAGTGTAAGGAAAAGTTTTCTAACAATTATTCAAAATCTAGAGGCAATAAAAGAAAAGATGGACGAACTGACTACAGGTAGCAGGTAGTCCCCTAATTACGACAAATCGCACGTAAGACCATCTGTTTTTGTTCTTTTTGGACGTCTTCCTGTTAGGAATGTGCGCTACAGACAACGCTGCAGCATGTAATTTGCTCATGTTCTCATTCTCAGGCATTCACTCGAACATGTCCAAGGATGGGATTTATAAAGATACTAATAATAAAAGGCAATAATAATGAAAACTAAAAAAAAAGAAAAAGAGGTACTCAATTTACGTCAGAACTGACTTACGACAGCCGTCGGAATGCAGCTCCGTCCTAAGTTGAGGATGGCCTGTACAAAAAAGTGTTGCTACTGTTAGCGGCTGTCAAGTTGGCCCCGACTCACGGCACCCTCATCCACAGTGGGATTTGACCATTGGGATCCATAAGGTTTTCACTGGCTGGTTTTTCAAAAGCAGATTGCCAGGCTTTTCTTCCTAGTCTGTCTCAGCCTGGAAGCTCCACTGATGTCTATCTTTCCAGCATCACAGCAGCACGCAAGCCTCCGTTGCTGACCGACGGGTGGCGGCCGCGTGTGCGGTGCACTGGCCGGGAATTAAGCCGGGCCTCCCACATTCACCACTGAACCCCCACTGCCCCCATGTAAACACGGCCTGGCTGAAAAGCATCATAAACAAGACCAAAAGACAGCTTATGACATGGGAGGAAATATCTGCAGCGTGTAACACAGTTAAACAAAAAATGTTTTTCAAAGATATGAACAGAAAATTTCCAAGGAGATAAAGAAACAGCCCTGAAAAAGTAATGATCTCACTGTAATTACAGGAAAATGCAAGTTGAAACTACACCGAGGTACAATTCCTCACAAATTAAAACGACAAGACGAGACGCTGCGCCGGCGAAGCTGGGGACGCAGGTGCCCTGCCGCCGCTGTGGGGCTTGGAGGAGAAGCTGGCGAGATCCGGCAGGACTACAGACACGTGGACCTTAACCCTGAAATCCCTCTCTGGTACAGCTCCAGACAACACAAACCCAGACACACACAAGTACTCACTGCAGCACTGTTTGTAATGACAAGTCACTGGAAACCCCTAAATGCTCGTACAGAGAACAGGAGGCTACGTGACAGTGTATCTACAGGTGAGTCCTATGCAGCTCTAAGAATGAGGAAGATCTCAGTGAAGGAACACAGGGATTTCCAGAACACGTTAAGTGGCGGGGGAAAGCCAAAGACTATAGTACGTTACCTTTTCTGTAAAAATAAAATAAAAAAGGAAGGAAACAATTAGTTCCCTACAGGGGGTAGATGGGAATGAGACAGGGGAAAAGGGAGTGTGGTCAGTGAGAACTAAAACCAAAACAGAACATGACAGAGACCACATGACAGAGACCGATGAGCCCAGCTTGATCTCACATGAGTCCCTCGACTGTACCGGGGTGGGGGGGCCGGCTGAGGATAATCCAGTGACTGTTAACACAGGACAGAGACTGACGAGCCCAGCTTGATCTCACATGAGTCCCTCAACTGTACCGGGGTGGGGTGGGGGCGGTAAGGATAATCCAGTGACTGTTAACACAGGACAGAGACCGACGAGCCCAGCTTGATCTCACATGAGTCCCTCGACTGTACTGGGGGGGGCCGGCTGAGGATAATCCAGTGACTGTTAACACAGGACAGAGACCAACGAGCCCAGCTTCATCTCTTTGAGTCCCAGGACTGTACCGGGGTGGGGGAGGTGAGGATAATCCAAGTGACTTAACCAGCATTCTGACTCCATGCTCTTAGGCTACAGTCAACAAGAACTGCAAGCAAAGACTGAAAACGAGTCCCCGGTTTTCACAGTGCTACAGAAGGGGGGCAGCTCAGAAGCTACTCTAGGAATAAACAAGTAAGCAGCTACACTGCAGAGAAGGGGAATCCCATTTTTTACTGTGAGAGAACAGAGCTACAAACAAGGAAAGGGGGAGGGTTGGAATGAACCCTGCTGTTGTGGGTGCCGCTGAATCCATTCCAACTCACAGGGACTCCAGCTGATGGAGCCAAACTGCCCCACGGGTCTCCTAGCCTGTAATCTTTACGGGAGCAGATCTCCAGGTCTTTCTCCTGCAAAGCTGCTGGCTGGGTTGGAACCACCAACCTTTTGGTTAGCAGCCTAGCACTTAACTGTTTCTGCCACCAGGGCATCTTGAACCCTGTAGTACTAGAGTGGAATTAGAGGTGTCAGTGTGAACTGATAATATCAGAATTAGGTATAGAAACAGATATAGATGTACTTGTGCCACGTACACACACAACAGCACACACATGTGCACATGCACGCGCACACACACACACACACACACACACGCACTTCCTAGCTCTGTCGACTGTGAGGGCCCAGCAGCAATGATCCACCAGTAGCACTCGGATCTCAATCTCTATATCCCACTCTCTACTAAAGAGAACCAGGGCTCCTTGGAGAAATGCCTGACTATGGGGCTGGGATAGGCAGAGTCCAAGATGAGTCTGGAACCTTTCACTATGCCAGAAACTAAGGACGGCTCAAGGAAAGACGGGAAGCGTGAAAAGCACTCAGGAGGCGTCCGATGATCAGACCCGGGACTAGAGCATCCAGATGCAGAGTGTCAGTAAAGAATCACCGTCGACGGCATAAATTACAGATCCATAAATCCACCCTGAGACGAAGAAAGGAATGAAAAACGAAGGGGCAGAAGGAAAGCTCTTCCACAGAGCAGAATGCCAAATGAACACAGAAGGGAGAATTGTCCTAGAAAAACCACCAGTGGTCAAACAGCAACGTACCAACCACCTGAGGCAAGAACCACCAAAGGCTACTAACCCTAGTGGTGAGTGCCCGACGAGAAACAGACCCGTCTCCCCACAACACACCTACTAATTGGCAATGAGGGGACGGTCACTTCACAGCGGAGCACACGCTTCTCAGCCAAAGGATCAGAATTAGCACCCCCAGTGATGGGACAAATAGACATTACATCCTCCTGATACAACACACTAGAAGGACACATCATTTCTACGGTCTTACTGCCAAAAACATATAATTTGAGTCCAATGTGTTTTGAACCGCTGAACCATCAAACAAACCCAAATCAAGGGATCTTTCAAAAAACAAATGGCTATGCTCTTCAAAAACATCAAGGTCATAAAAAGCAAAGAAAACCTGAGGAACTGATCCAAATTAAAGGAAATTAAGGAGGCATGACAATTAAATGCAGCATGTGATCCTGGACTGGATCCTAGGCCAAGAAAAAACAACACTTTTTTTTTTTGCTATAAAGGATGTTAATGGAACAACTGGAGAAATCTGGGTAAGGCCTATCATTAGATAATTGTATTATATCAGTGTTAATTTCTTGATTTTGATCATTGCACTGTGGTTTTGTAAAAGAATGTCCTTGTTTTGAGGGAATTCACATGCACGTATTTAGGGGTAAAAGGGCCTAACATCTACAACCTATTCTCACTTAGTTCAGAAAAAGAACAGGGGGAGAGAGAGGGGGAGGGAGAGACAGCAAACGCGGCCACGTGCTGATGATGGGTGGCTGCGTGGATGCAACTTCTTGAACTATCCGTCCCTCACCGGTGGTGAAAAGGCCACAACAAGCACAAAGCCAGAGACAGGTAAGGCACCATCCCAGCCACAGGAGGGGGACAGGCTGCAGGAGAATGGCCAACCAGGGGGGTCCTCCGACTGCCCGTCTCACCCAGGCAGTGAGAAGCCACAGGCTAGAAACACCTTCCTTGGTTCTGTATTTACCAATTGAATTGTTGGCTCTGTCTCCTTTCTTCTTCTTGTTTTTCTTGCTCTTGCCCTTCGGCTGCGGGGAATCTGCCAGGATCAGCTTGCCGTTCTGCGGACACTCGCCGGGAGAGGCGGGCTCGGTGGGGACTGGTGTGGCCTTCTCCTCCTTGATGTGATTCAGCTGCTTTTTGTTGTTGTTATTGCTGTTGACCTTCTTCTCCTCTCTCTTCTGCTCCGGGAGGGAAGTGAGGTCAACAGCTTTGGCCTTGGCGTCAGTCTGGGGCCGGGCTCTGGGCGGAGCCTCTGTGGCTTTGGGGCTGGCCTTGCTGCTCTGCCTGAGCTTCGCTTTGCCGCTCCCCTCTTTGTGGTGGTGCATGATGTCAAAGAGGAAAGAGAGCGGCTCAGGCGCCTTCCCGTTGACCTCCTTCCGGAGCAGGAGTCTGGAGTCTCTGGTGCCCGCGGGCTCTGCGGCGTCTTCGTCCGGCCCTGGCCTTGGCTCTGCGTGGTTCACATGTCTGGAAGGGGAGCGAGATGAGGTCTCTGGTTCTTCAGTGTGCTCCAGGGAGCCATTGGGGATGTTTTCAGAGCTAGGTACCAGCTCTGTGGCCGTCTGAAAATTGCGAGCCAGCATGTCCAACTTGGGGCAGTCTTTACCGGGCCTGTCCTTCTTCTTCTTCTTCACAGCTCTCAGCTGCTGAAGCTCCTGAAGGCGCCGGAGCTCCTCCTGGAGCCGCTCTTCCTCCTCCTCCTCCTCCCGCCGCCTCTGCTCCTCCAGGACATGCAGGTGCTCCCGCTCCCGGGCTGCGGCCTCCAGGCGGGCTTTCTCTTCCAGCTGTCGGTGGGAAAAGAAAAGGCGACTTAGGGCCACGGTAGGCAGTCTAAATATTGAGACACACAGAAAATAAGGTAATTCAAAAGCTAACCACACAACAGGACAGTAACGAACTCTGAAAGGGCTAGAAGCAGCCGAAAGCTCAAAACACACCTACCCTGTTATGGATTGAATTGTGTCCCCCAAAAATGTGTGCTGTAAATCCTAACCTCTATGTCTGTGGTGGAGCCCTGGTGGTGCACTGGTTAAGAGCTCAGGCCGCTAACCAAAAGGTCAGCAGTTCGAATCCACCAACTGCTCCTTGGAAACCCGATGGGGCAATTCTACTCTGTCCTATAGGGTTGCTATGAGTCGGAATCAACTCAAAGGCAACAGGCTTTTTGGTTTATGCCTGTGGTTATAACCCCATTTGGGAATGGGTTGTCTTTGTTACATTAATGAGGCAGGATTAATGTAGGATGTATCTTGAGTTAATCTCTTTTGAGATTAAAACAGATTAAACAAGCAAGCTAGGAAGCAGAGATGGGGGAAGACACATGTCAAGCCACATGAAGAGCGCCCAGGAGCAGAAGCTCAGAAGAGACAAGGACCTCTCCCCGGAGTCAACAGAGAGAGAAAGCCTTCCCTTAGAGCTGGCGCCCTGAATTTGGACTTCTAGCCTCCTAAACTGTGAGAAAATAAATTTGTTTGTTAAAGCCACCCACTTGTGGTATTTCTGTTACAGCAGCACTGGATAACTAAGACTCATGCCAAATGATTTTATTGTACAGACTGGTGAGATTTCCTCTATCTACCACGGTATCCACCAGCCACTCCTTGGAAAATCTATGGGGCAGTTCTACTCTGTCCTACAGGGTCGCTATGAGTTGGAATTGACTCGATGGCCACAAGTCTCGTTTGGGTTTACCGTGGTGTATAAATCTACCATGCTATATACTTCATTGGGGCAGGGGGTGGGACTTAGCCTCCAGCTCCTCGAAGCCTGCGGCCTCGTGGGAGGGGCACCGACCAATGTTGGGCACCCACTGTGCCCCTGTCCAGCCCTCCCACTGGCTCTGCTCTCCGTGGGCCGGGCAAAAAAACACACCGACAACCCGTCTGCTGAGGCCCTCAGCGCAGGAGTCACTGTGCCACATTCAACGGCTGCCCATGTCCTACCACAACTCCCAGCAAGCACACCTTTCTGGGTGAAGGCTGACGCTAACACATCACCATGGATACACAGGACAGGCAGGACATGCGGGCTAAAAAACTGAAGACTATTTTTTCACACCTAGTAAATAAGCAAAGGTCCCCGTATGTTTTCACTAGCATGACAGAGCAAATGACTAGCAGTCACTACTACACGGCAAATAGATCTCGGTGTATTTCTGCCATCCAGTGTGACAGGAAATTAACGAGCCCTGGAGTGAAGAGCGTGTTCAGCAGTGATACAGGCCCCGGAGCGTCCACGGAAGCCACTCCTTCTGTTTAGAAAACAAATGGAGTCCTGAGAGGCCTTACCTCTCACCAGCCCCTTATGTTACTCAGTCCTCAACAGGTGAGTTTATGAGAAACTTTGGCAAAAACAGGCTCCATGGGAAGCTTTAAAGGACCTTCCAAGTTTAAACTATTTTCTCATGATGCTTTAATATTTCAGTAGAAATATACTTGAAGAGACAAATTTACTCGTCTTTTTGAAAAATTTAGCATAAAATTATGTCAAAAGATTGAACAATGGCAGGCTTTTAAAAAAATTAACATGGTAATTTAGGAGAAAACGATTTAAAATCCTTGCTCCTTTACGCTGAAAAGGAAGCCCTTCCTGGGAGACAGGCACTGAGACAAGGCTCCTGGAGTGGTCCCTGGCCACGTCTGCAGTGAGACTCGGAGCTAGTGCCTGAGTGTGAGTCAGCTCTGTCAGCATGCATGCTGGCGCACACGGGCCAGCTGTGTTTCCTCACAATAAGACTGTCTCCACAAACGACACTGGAAGCAGCTTTACACTCCAGGAGAAGCTCCTTCTCAGTCCTGGACCAGTCACAAACCAGTCCTGGATCAGCACCGGCACCCAGTGGCATGCCTCCCACACAGGCCTGCAGGGGGAGCTGCTGCAGCACAGAACCTAGAGGCGAATTCACGAACAGTGCCTACCGCCTTTACTTCAACAACCAGCCCACAGTCAACGAGCCTCAGAGCAGGGCTGGGGGATGCACTTAAAAAGTGGTGCAAGGCAGAGAGCACCCAGGAAGTGTCCCCGGTGAGAGAGGGTGCTGGGGAGGGCCTATGGCACCCGCTTCAAAGGCTCAGCCTGGCCCGAGTGAGCCCGAAGTGGCTGTAGCACCAGGCTCTGCCTCAGACAGCCCACAGGACAGAGAACAGGAGACAAAGGTTGAGAGTGGTGGGCTTGGAGAAGCCCCAGAGGCCTTTGGTGAACCCCAAAGGGAAGCCCCCCGCCCCGGCCCCAGGCCTTGGCACCCTCTGGGCCCCCAATGCTGTTAACGCTTCTGGGTTCTGCAGGTTCTCCCCCATCACCGTGTCTTCTCCCCACAGCCTCCAACCGTAGCCAGCAGCCACTGCAGACCTCGTTCACGATCCGGAGGCACAAGCAGAGCCCTGGATGGTTAAACCACTTAGCGGAATAATCGCAACGACCTTAGAATCACACATTGCTAGGCTGGAAGTAGCACTACAGGACGTATGGTCCAGCCTCCACGAGCATCTTCCAGTCAGTGTCTGGCAGACTGCCCACACTGAGGACAGGCCCTCAGTTCTCCCTAGAGCCATCCATTCCACAGCTAGCACCTTTGTTATCTTCCCGCGTTCCTCACACTGAGCCCAGGTCCGCCCTCTGAAGTCTGCCTGGCTCTTGAATACCTTTTGGCTGTAGGAACCAGAATCTGCCCTGTGGGAAATCCCCCAAGAAAAAATAAATTTTGGGCAGGGTGGGGAGCGGGGGGTCACACTGAATCACAGAGCAGATGCTATTCCTATCACTTTCCATGTACTGAGAAGTGAGGAACGTCCCATTTGTCAGCAAACACAGAGTCTCTGCATGTCATGACCGGTCATCAGGCCTCAGGTCCAGTCCATTCATGCCCCCGGGCCACTCCCACTGGATGACTTGTCTGGTCTCAAAAGGCAGCTGCCTGTTTGATACCACTGCCCCTGGGGAAGTGTGGACTCCTGGCTCCCCGGGGTCTGGTCACCTTACTCTGCAGTCCTCACACCCATGCCACCCAGGGTCCCCTCTGGAAGGATGCTGCCTGCTCCTTCTCTGTTCTGAAGAGAGCTGGGGCAGGATCAGGGAAGCAGGCGTGGGGGCTACTTGGCCTGCGTCCGGAGGAGTCGCTGTGCAAAGGCCCTGTCACAGCCCCAGAGCAAAGTCACCCCGTCTTCAACCCCAGTCTCCACAGCCCATGCAGATCCGCCTTGTCCTGTCCCCTCTACATCAAGGGCCCCTCTTCCTCCCCTTCCTTGGGAGAGAAGGGTGCCCACACAGCCATGGCTTCAGGATAAGGACTTGAAGGCTTGCTTCAGCTCCGTTTACAAACCCCTGATACCAAAGGATAAATGGTCTCCTGAAAACCGAACAAAGTAGGCTCTTTAACCAGCTTCCAATTCAGGCCTTGAGAGGCAGACAGGGGCTCTCACAGGCCTGACCTCCTGACACGCACAATGCCCTGGAGAGACGCCCGAAGGGCAGTGGCCACAGAAGCCCAGGCGTGCTGTTACCTTTCTTTGCTTATGTCTCGCTCGCTTGGCTGCTCGAGTACTGCTGACCGGCTTGGTCTCTGAGCTGTTTATAAACTGTAACAAGTCTTCTACCTTTCGATGGTCAACGACACTTTCCCTTTCTGAGATCTGATCCGCTTTTTTAGGTTGCTCTTCTTTCCTCTTGGTCAGGCGTAAACGAAGCTTTTCCCTCATTTCTGCATAATTTCTACTTGTTGGTGCAGCTGGAGGCTAAGACAGTTAAATAAGAACATGACTAAGTGAAGCTTCAAGTTTTAACAACTTTGAATATAACGATTTCAGACCATATCTTTAAAAATAACTCTTATTATTAATGTAATACATGTTCACTGTGAAAAGGAAGGGTGTTAAGGTAAGTGACTGGCAGGACACACTCGTCACCAAGTCACCTGAAGGCAGTATTTTGGCACCTCCCCCTCCAGCGTTTTTATATATTCATGGAAAGTCTGGTAGAATACGTACAACTGTGTACACAAATGGCTATTTTAAACCAAAAAGAAACAATTACGAATACTGATAAATGTACTTTTTTACGTAATACGTTATGATGATCCTTCCGTGACAACTGCAGGTGTCTACAGAATCTTTTCATCCGTTTATGATTTCCTTTCCGGAGCCAGAAAAGAAAAAAATGCCTACAACTCCACTGCCAAGTTTTCTTACTGACCATTAAAACACAGGCACATGTTTAGAAAATGCAAACAGGACTCAGGGAAAAAGAAAACCTACAAGCCTCACACCTTTCCTGCCGCCTCTCCCCAAGGTGACCATGGCTAGCACTTCCTTATTTAAAAGTTACTGCTCCGGAAAGGTACGTACAGTCGGTTCTCAACACTGGCAGGAGTTCTGTTCTGCACAGGTGCTGTGGGCACTACAGCAGTGAGTATCAAACCAGCCTGCTCGCCCTCAGGTGGGAAGAACCTGCGTGCTGGGCAAATCAAGCTCTCTGCGCCACTGCACACGTCCGCCCATGACTGTAGACGCACCACTGGCATCCACTTGGGTTATAAATAAACATTCGGGAGTAGGTGAATTCATAGATATGGACTCTACAAATAACGAGGATCGACTGTGTGTTTTAATAGTCTCGTATTTAAATAAGACGAGCCAAACTGTACACATAGGAAACTGCTGCAACCAGCTACAGAGTACCCCGCTGTACGGACACCCCCAACTAGACAATACCCTACTGCTGGGCGCTCAGCGGGTGCCCCCACCTCACCAACTATTTAAAAACACACGAATGAATACAAAAATGCAGTGATGAAAATCCTTTTAGCCAAGTCTCGGGCCAATATTTAATTATTTCTTGAGGATAAGTACAACCCAGAAGTGGAATTACTGTTTCAGCTCGTATCTGGATTTTAACTGTAGAGCAAACAGTTTTACATACAACATAACGGTACTGATTCAACTCTAATTTAAGCACAACATGCAATTTAAAAACATCCATCCTACACACATATTTTAGGTGCTTCTAGAAACTCCGAATCCATGCAGGAGGACCACCCCACCCCCCGCCCCCCACGTGGAGCCCCAAGAGTTGGGGCAGCACTTACCCGGGCCCCTGCACGGAGCCCTGAGTGGCCAGGGGACACTTACCTCCCCACCTGCGTGGAGCCCCGAGTAGGGGGCGGCACTTACCCACCTCCGCCCGTGTGAAGCCCCAGGTAAGGGGCAGCACTTACCTCGCCCCCGTGTGGAGCCCCAAGTGGTTGGGCCCCCCTCCGCGTGGAGCCCCGGGTACTGGGCAGCAGTTACCCTGCTCCCTGCATGAAGCGCCAACCTACCCCATGTGGAGCCCCGACCTACCCCGCCCCCCGCCCGGAGCCCCGACTTACCCCGCCGTGCCCGAAGAACTCACAGTAGCAGCAGTCACAGTACTTGCCCTCCTTCTGGTTGGTGGACGTGGAGGTGCTAGAGCTGTGCTCGGAGCAGCTGTCCTCGTCCGCGCTCTCGTCACCGTCATCCTGCTGCGGGTCATAGACCCCGTTCTCACAGCGGTGCCCTTCACAGTCGGGGTCGCTGCAGAGGCGAACAGGCTGGTGAGCAGGCAGTCAGCCCCGGGGGCCCCAGCGCAGCAGCACGCCCCCCACGGCACCTGCCATGTGCCCGCTTCCCAGAGCGGACAGGCACACAAGGCAAGTGGCCGCCAGTCACACAGAGGAAGGGCAACGCAGCGTCGTGGGCGAGGTGGCCCCAGCGCCGGGCGGTTTACGGAAGATACACACCACGTGCACCAGGCAGGCATTCCACTCAGGAGGGGCTCACGGGCAGGGTGTCTGCTCGCTCTGCGGCGGCCCCTCCCACCACCGCCTGCAACGGGGCGCTCAAAGGGAGGGCCATCACACAGGGGAGTCCAAGGGTAGGGTGGTTTTCTTTTTAACCTACTGGGTGTTTGCTGCCCAGTGCTCTGTAAACACACTTTACAACCTTTCCTCTGGTTCTAGTCAATGTACAACAAATACAGCTTAAAGACCACGCGAGGAACACACCTTGCTGTTGCCTATGGGCAGACTGCCCTTTGCAGAGCCTGCCCCTGACCGTGGCCTCTGCTGGGGTGCCCTGCCTGTCCCCCGCTGTGTTGTCCTGGAACAGACACCGCACTTCCGGAAGGGCCTCTGGGGCTCACCTGCACACGCTGGGAGGTGCGCTGAGGGAGCCGTCCGTGGTGGGGGGCGGGGGCGCCACAGGGGCTGCACAGAAGCTCTTGCATGCGTCCACGAAGCCAGGAGCTGGGGTAGCAGTTTTGGGGAACGACGGGGCTGTGAGATTTGCGAGGTGAGGCGTGGAGGCCGGTGACAGCGCAGCAGGAGAGAGAGAGGGCAGCGGGGCGAGCCCCGTGGGGCTGCTCCGAGGCGCAGTCGGGGCTGAGTGTCTGTGGTCGTCCTTGCTGATGCCGTGGAAGACTTCACCTGCATTTAAAGATGCCACGAGGGTCACTTCCGATGGCTGAAGAAAAGACACTGGTCATTCATATTTCCCTCAATTAAAAAATCTGTACCAACTTTCTGTTTGGAAAATATTCCAACCTACAGCTTGAAGGAATAGTACATGAGCATCCATCAGCCCTCTACCTAACATCATCAATTGTTAATACTTCGTCATATTGATGTTATTTCTCATACACGGTTTTTTTGCCATACTATTTGGAAGTAAGTTGTATTCACCCCTAACTACTTCAGTGTGAGCTCCAGAGAAGACGGCCTTTTCTCTGTGTTCTCACAGTACCATCACCATGCCCGGCCTGCACTCCACACTCACACTTCCAATTCCCCCGAATATCCTTTACAGCTTTCTCCCCCAACCCAGCCTCTTAACCCTTTTTCTTCCCCTTCCACAACAAGGACATTTTTTGAGTCTGGGCCAGCTGCCCCACAGTCTGGGTTTCACCTGTCTCCTCATTATTCGAGTCGGGCAGATTCCGGTGAGTCATTTTTGGTGCGAATGCACCTGACAGTGACGGGGAGCACCTCCGGCTGCTGGTCCACACTGGCGAGGACGCGCCTACTCACATACTACCGACCAGTCGCGTGGGGACGGTGCTCTCAGACTGGGGACCCAGCACGTTCCCCAAGTGGACATCTGGAGGTTTCAACGTCATAGGTGACACTTACCTGAATCAATGAGGACCCCGATGGCTGCACGACGGTGACTTCTGCATCCCTGGTGCTGACACTGCTAGTGGCTGGCAAGCTTCTGCAAAGAGCAGCCTGCACACCCTACTCCCTCCCTCGAGCGTCCTCACGGGTCCTATGGTCCCTGACCTTATTCAGCGTGCTACAACCCATCTTGTCTTTCTGACACAGCTTCCAGCAAACGCCTCCTTGTGCTCAAAAGGCAACAGCCTCTCCCATCACAGAACAATGTTAACAGAGACCCTCCAGATACTGCACCGCAAAGCCTCAAAGAACCACCACGAAAATTCCCACCTGAGTCCTAAGTACCACACTCTTTGCAGGTGAGTAATTTTGAGGAAATTCACACCTCTGGCTGGGCTAATGACAACGCCGACGACAAAGAAGAAACAGAAAAGGCAGAACAATCACCAGGACTCCAGCAGCCGGCGGCCTTACCTATGGAAGGTGGTCTTTTGGACGACACCTTGAACTGGCTGTTACTGGACTGCACCGTGGTGGCCGTGCAGGAGACGGAGGACGTGGCGGATGAGGTTGCCATGACAACTTTGTTGGCTTCCATAAAAGCATCTTGGAAATTGTACAGGCATTTCTTTTTTGCAGCATTTTTTTTCTCTTTATTATCTGAGACTGCAGGTGTATCGCTGCTGGATGGAGGCGGAAGGGCGTCAGGTCTTGTTTCGGAGAGCGTTGCCCCTAATAAATCACTCCCTTCAGAGAAGAATGGGAAAATTAAGGCTCCGAAGAGAAATAATATTTAGCCAAAACCTAAACAACATGCTGATGACTAAACATTACCACCGGGGCTGCTAGTGAAGTTAGGATTCCAGGGCTGCTTCTCGTCAACTAGCTTTTCATTTAAGAAAGACAAATTCATTGAGCACCTACTATGTGCCAATTCCCGTGCTAGGTGCTTTTAAAAAGTTATCTTACTGAATGTCTTAAAACTAGCTTCTGAGGTTGGTACTGTTATTCCTATCCAAAAGATGAAGAAACTGAGGCTCAGAGAGGCTAAGCAACTTGCCCAAGGTCACACAGCTAGAAATCCTTCCCAAGCACAGATCAGGATGCACAGTCCAGCTTGTTTTCTGAGCACATGCAGGGGCTGAGGGCAGGTCCCTGCGGGTTCCCGCCACGTGAAAACAGATGAGGTGTGGGTGCCGGCCCCTCTTTAGCGCACGCTGGCCCTGCCACCGTGGTAACAGCTGAGCCTCGGAGTTGAGGCAGGGGCAGGGAGCGGGAAGCTGTCGGAGGGGACAGGTCCCATGTAGGGTCAGTGCAGGCATCAGAGGGAGGGAGGCAGGTCCCAGCACTCGAGTCACCTGTGGCTCTGTGCCCCACCTCCTAAGCATGGGTTTCGGGTCTGCGGGGTCACCACGGCTTGAGAGCCAAGTTAATGTCAAAAGCTGAACTCAGAACCCTGGAGACACGGCCCTTAGTAACGAGGGGAAGACAGACCCCAGTGTGGGCAGGGCCAAGGGCGAGGCTTACCGTGCCTCCAAGCACCAGGGAGCCCAGGGCCTGCTCTGCTCAGTGAGTGCGGTGGGGCAGCCTGGGCGGATACGTGAGGATGGAATGGGATGGCGGGGCCCACGGATCCCCCACTAGATATGGAGGCGAGGCCGAGACGCAGCCCAGGGCCGCTGCACGCTGGCTCCAGACTGTGCTAGGGCTTCTACCGGAAGGTGACAACAACGGTGGCAGTCTACTCAGCTCGGGTTACTTTAAAACTTTAAGAAATTTTTAACAAATTCCTTACCAGAAATTGTATCTGGCAAGAAAGTGCCAGGATTCCAGTTCTTATCATTCATCACTTCTGATCCCCAAAGACTTATAAATTTAGAACTATTCCACTCTGGAGTATTCCCAAAACAGCTTGGATAAATATGGTCTTGAAGAGATGCATTGAATACCTGATGCTTATTTGTGTGATTCTGAACAGGTGCTGGCGGTAAAGCCTACAAAAAAAAATTTTCTAATCACATATCAAAATTAATATTCTGTTCACCTACGTAGTTACACTACAAGCAGACACATGGTTACTGGAAGCCCTGTGGGGTGCGGTCACGGGTGCCAGTGTCCCTGCGTGGGGACACACTTCCCAAAGTGCTGGCTTGAGGTGTTTCTAAGATGATACATAATACGTCAAATTTCAACTGGACGAGGGTTTTAAAGCAGTGATGCCTCAAGGAACACATCTGAACAAAACTGTGACATGGTCCATTCGCATGAGATCTGTTCCTGTGGCTTATTCTCCATCTGACATTTGAATGATCATTGCTAAAAATTCAACTTCGGAATCACTGATGAGAACGGTAAAGCTCGTTCACTGATCTGTTACACACGGTGAGGTACAGCTCAGGTCTGAAGAACTGACTGGGTCCACGCCGAGCTCTGAGGCCGAGGCTGCTGCTGGGTGGACCCTGGTCTGGAGGCGCCGAGGGAGGGTGACCATGGTCCACCAGCCACCTCAAACATTGACTGAGTGAGCAGCTGCTCGAGCCCACCCTCTCCCTCCACCCCCAGGCGCAGGCCCTGTCTGTTTACCTCCTAGGAGCTCCTGAGTGTCCACTTCTGGGCAGCTCCACTGCCTCCATCTCTGCACTAGCGCAATAGCCTCCACACTCGGGCCTCTTCCCAATCCACTTCCTCACAGCAGCCAGAGTGATCTTTTTTGAATGTAAATACGATCATGTCACTCCCCTGCTTAGAAGGCGTCAATGGCTTCCCACTGCGCTTAAGATAAAATCCAAAGTCCTTAATGTGGCCGAGGAGACCTACGGAGCCTGGCCCCCAGCTGGCTACCTCTCTTTCCTGCTCACCAAGCCCTGACTTACAGGCATCCTTGGTCCTCAGGCTCTCCAACTCCTTCGAGACCCCGCGCTGCGCTCCGCTCAGGCCTCAGCCTAAACATCGCTGCCTCAGAGAAGCTGCTTTTGCCCTGACTCCCTCCCTCCCCAGACCAGGGTGGGCCTGCCCACAGAACACAATAAAATCCAAACTTCTCCCTCTTAGCATGCACCACGGTTCTAATTCAGGACTCACTGTATAACTACTGGTTTCATCTCCCAAATTGCATGAGCGTCACGAAGGAACGGAACATTTGGAGGCTTGCTGGCCCTTGATGTCCCCAGCCCCGTGTCAATGCTGAGCACACACTTCTTCCCTCAATTGATATTTCTTTATTGCAAGAACAAATGAAGGCCCAGATACAGACCCTGCCCGAGAGGGTGACCCTTGGTGGTGGCAGACACGAGCAGTGAGGGCTGTAAACCATGGTGGAAGGAGCTGGGGAAGGATTCCCAAGAGCAGTGACACTTCAGCAGATCCCGAGGGTCCAGCCTGGGGTGGGGGCAGGAAGAGGGTCTGGAGGACGTGGATGGCACATGGATGTGAACAGCAGCACCGCAGAGATGGGCGAGGACTGTCTGCCCTTCAGCTCTGCTTGGCTGGACTGAGAAGACTCCAGGACGAGTGGAGTGGGTGCCAAACTAGGGGCAACCTTTGTATGACTTTTGTCCTGAAAGGGGGGAAGGACCCACAGAGGGTTTTATGCAGCAGAGTGAGGGGATCTGACGGGTGTTTTAGGAAGATCAGCTGGGGGCAACATGGTAGGTGAGCCAGAGGGTGAGCGATGACGCTGAGTCAGTCACGGCATGCACGGTGATGACGCGATGGGCTGAAGACAGAGAGGAGGGGGTGAATCCTAGCGCTGTCAGGACAACAGCTATTTGCTGACTGTCTACATCAACAATCACTGTTTCTGGCTCCATCACCAGAAGTGGGATTAGGGGACAACACTGGGATTTGAACTCTAGTCTCGTGCTTTGCCTTCAAGCGTCCTTGCTTTGGTGGGTCCAGATATTAGCTCTTCCATTCACTAGCTGTGTGACCTCAGGCAAATTACTCAGTCTTTTCGGGCTTTAGTTTTCTCATCTGTAAATCGGAAATACCTACCTCAGGGGTGGTTGTAAGAATAAACAGACAATGCATATTGAGTATGTGGCACACTGCCCAGCCCGCAGCAAGCGTTCAGTGAGTGCTACGGGGGGGGGGTCATCATCGTTTTACACGAACACAAAGGAACAAACAGGCAAACAAACAAAGAGCCAGCCCAGCGGAGCCACGTCCTCTGGCTAGCGCTCTGGGAGCAGAGAGGAAGTCGGAGTGACCCGGGGGCAGGGATGGCTTAGGGCACCCACTGACCAGCAAAGGACCCAGTGAGGAGTGAGGAGAATGGTGGGGAGGCGAGCCTGAGCAGACATTTCAGGACTGGAAAGCAGGAAGAGACAGGTCTTCCTTCCTGTTTCTGTGGCCACCAAGGATAAAAGCAAGGGTCTGATGAACTAGTTGCTCTGGCAGGGGAGTCCCAGGGGCAAAGAGCAAGGAAGACAAAAAAATCATATTTCAATAGACACAGTTTCTACAAGGTAGTGATAAGCTAAGTGCTGCCTAGCTAAGAGGGAACTGATGAAAAGCAGCAATTACACAGGAGGGGCAGAAATGCCTGGCAGGTGTAAACCAGCCAGCTTCCTCACCCTGCATGCCTCTGGATTTCAGAGGCAGCTCCTTCCTACAAGCTATTCCAGCCGGTAAACTCTGAACAGCAGAAGCACCACCAGTGCTCTGAAGCTACTTCAATATTTATCAAGAGCCTCCTAAGAGAGGTCGTAGATTGGTTTTAATATACGGGTTTCACAGCCCATGGCTGGCTGACTCCTCTGAACAGACAGCTTGTGTCCAGAGGGCTCTTGTTTATCCTTCAAAAATGCCATTCCGGCATGGTCTCCTCTGTGAAACCATCCCATGGGCTCGTTCAAACAGTTTTCCCTCTTTGGTGTTACTTTTCTACTTTGCATCTACAATTTCTATTAAGACATGTCATAGTATTTTAGTTTTGTTTTATTTGATTATTATTATAATTTTGTCTTCTCCTTAGACTGCAGGTGCATTGAAAACAGGGACCAGGATTAATCAATTTCTGTTTTCCTAGCATGTAGCACAGGCCTGGCACATACTGGATGTTCAATAAATGTTTGTTGAACAGAATTTAGCTTAGAGGAATGAAAGAGCACAGACTGTGCAGGTAGAGGTGTTCTACAGGAATGCAGCTACAAAACAGTAACATTGGAAACAAAAGTTAGTGATTCTACAGATTCTATGTATATACTTCTTCAGAAGCTCATCTATTCAAAAATAAAGTCGTTGTAGAGTCAAGAGGCAAAAATAAGAAGGGGTCAATAATGAGTTGTATTTTTATGAGTGATTTTGCACAAAACGCCTGCTGACCTCAACAGCTTAAGTGTCTCCTTCAGGAAAAAACAGTGTCTGTCTACTAGACCATTCTTGGGTCCCATAAGCACACCAATGATTTAGCCATAAAATAAGTCTCTCAAATGGATAATGTAATTGAATTAGAACACTGATTTCACTCTTTATACAAATACACAAAGCCTCAATTAACAGTGGTTTTAAATTGTCCTCCACTTTGACACAAAGAAGTAATTCACAGGAAAGTAAATTTTTGCTGTAAGTGATAGCTCTGACACAAACGCAAACAAGGACAAATGCTTTTATGAAATACACATCCCTGCACCTCTCCCGACCCCGTGGGCCTGTGTGCTCCAACACGAGCCAAAAGAGCTGAAGACCGAGTTGTGAGATACACGCTGGAGAGAGACGTCCAACACTGAGCATTCAAACAAAACGAGGCTCTAACTATACCCCAGCTAACAAGAAAACTAATTTAGCTGACTATTCTGTATTTCTGCTCAATTGAGGTTTTTCAATATTTCTCCCAGAGATGATAAAGAGCCAAAAAGTACCACCTTTGTCTTGGCCTTGCTATTTTTCAGGCCCAAGAACTGAACACTATCTCTGAAATAAAACACAGATCAAAGATTACAATATCATCTTGAAACTGGAACAGATTTATGCCCCTATTTTTACAATTAAAATAAAGGTAGACTTTTTCAACAGAAGTAATGAAAGCCTGTGGAATATCTTCAAAGTGATATGTAAAAATAACTATCAATCTAGAATTCTATACTCAGCAAAACAAATCTTTCAAGAATAAGAGCTAAATAAAGACATTTTCAGACAAATTAAATCAGAGTTTTGCCAGAATTCATTTTTTACTGAAAACTTCTAAGGGACGTACTCCAGTGAAGAAGTAAAAATGTCCCATAAGTATGGTCTGAGACATAAGAAAGGATGGTGAGCAAATAAAATGGTAAGCATATAAGTAAATTTAAACACTATCTGTAAAAAATGGTATTACTAATAATGGAAATAATGACGATAATTAATAATAATAAATTTACAAGTTCAAAAAAGACCAAACTAAAATATCAGACAATAACAATATATAAGTCTAGAAGGGCCCTGATTAAGTTAAAAGTGTTTTAAGGTCTTCTTTATTTGGAAGCAGGGCTAAGATATTAACTTAGGATCTGAATGCAAAAATGCATGGTAAAATTTCAGGAGTAACTAATAAAACAGAAATAATAGTAAAATGTATAACTTTCAGGCTAGTAGAGGGGAGAAATGGTATAACGGGGGAAATTACAAAAAAAAAAAAAAGCAAGAAACAAAAAAGGAGCACAGTTTAAAAAGCAAGACAAATGGAAAGCAAAAAGCATATTCCAAATACAGGCAGTCCTCGGCTTACAAACGTCCGACTTATGTACAACCTGTAGTTACGAACCAACCCTGTAACGCCTATTCTGTTAAAAATTTGAGGCACATACAATGGTTCGTAAAAACAAACCAGAGCTACTTTGTGACTTGCATCAAAACATCATTCTCACTGTATTATGATGTTAAAGATTTTTAGCGCGTCTGGAAATGTTTCCCTAATGTTTCTACGCACAGAAAGGCTCACTATACACTCTAGGTCAGATCAGGGGAGAAGAAACACACTGTGGAAAGAGACACACCTAGAACATAAGAACAAAGA